TTGTGAAAAAATATATGTTCTTTAAAAAAGACTTTAGGTTTAATACAAGAAAAAAGAAAAGAAATTAAGTCAAAGAAAACACGGTTAAATCAATTAAATTAGTACTTGAATGAATGCGTTCATTATTTGTTACAGTTAAACCATTAATTATTAACATAATTATTGATTTTGACCGTAAAGATTGCAAATTAACAAGGAAATTAAAAAATGCCTGACGTCTTTACCAATGAACCGAATGCCGAAATTGTTCAATCTGTTTCAATATGTTGATCATCTATACATAGTCTATTTTTAAGTCATATCAACCATTCATATAAATTAAATGTGAAACATCGTCAATTAAATTGTCAAGTGTTGAAACATATTACTTTATTCAGCTCAAGTACTCTTTTGTTCTACTTACCGAACTACTTTCGTTTATCTTTCGTCTTTGTAAGCACCAATATCCAAAATGTGGCAAATATATTCATCAAAACATTGTAGGAGGAGATGTAAAGACCAAAAGAAACAATGATTAATGAGGTATATTGTAAATTCTTAGACAACATCGATCACAATCTTAACACAGTCCAAGTGAATTTCTTTCCATGAAACATGATATATCTCGATCGTGATTATAGCAACAGTCAAGACTTTGTGATTAACTTAAATGCTCAATAGTCCTGTAATAATATAAAATTGCTGGTGATAGTATACTGTATAAGTGGTAAATTTTGCGACGTGGAAATATTTGCGATTTTTGCGAAATGAAATTATTCGCACATATTTGAACGCGCAAAAAATATTTCTTTTCATAGGCAAACTTTCTTCTATCATTTGTAAACATTCAGCATCTTACATGAATACATTTGACTGATTAGGTACTAATATTGATTTTTCTCATTACTTTTTGTTTAAGTTTGGCCTTAACAAATCACAAATGTTTATATGTGTGTTAATAACACATAAAACAAAAGGATGTTTCAAAATATGACATAGAATTGTGCGATCCGTTATCAAACTTACAATGTATATTTCAAACAATTATATGAATAGTAAACGTATCTGAAATTTGGCAAACATGTTATTTGTATTCAGGTTATTTACATCAAATAGGATACAAATTTCTATATAATATTTTCGGCCCGTCCTATCAAAAAGAATTCCCTTTAACAACGACATAACTAAACACACGTAAGGAAATGAAGAATATTTTAAAACAAAATGCATTTTATCGGTTTTGATTGAAACATGATTGAAAATATGTCTCTCCTAATGTTGATGCTACTCTCAATATCTAAGATGATTTTCTACATAATATGTTTACATCGAAACAAAAATCAATAATCAGCCATAATAAATAAGTTTGATGCTTGAAAAGTGACTTTGTAAATTACTAATATCATTGAGAATTTATTTTGGGATTTTCAATTATCACAATTTTGCAAGTCTTTCAATTCACTTTCCATTTAAAAAAAGTGAGCGACCTTTACAATAATGAACACAACAACGCTATTCCAGATCTACCTGTGTAGTCCTTTACTCGTCACATAACCATTGCAAACTCATTTTGAAAATAAGCGATTAATCAGTACTCTTCCTGAAGTATTAATAATGTAAATGACTGACGACAAATAACTACTTTGTTCCCTAATAGAACGCGCAAAAATACTATTTATACCGTTTGAGCGAAATTTCGAAATTAGATTTTCATACACTTGCCAATACTTCTTCATTTGAGAAACTAATTCAATGCCACATAAATGTTCTATTCTGTACATCTAAAGTTGAGTATTTTAGTACATGAGTACGTTTTTTTGTTGTTGTTGTTGTTGTTTTGTGTTTTTGGAAACTGTAACAAGATACTAAAAATAAAAAGTTTTTGAGAAATAAAAAATTTAACATTCTTGGGGCCTTTAATGAATATAATTTAAGAAGGTGAATACATTATTCAATATGATAACAGTGATTGTGTTTGGCATTTCTATGTCAGAGGGTATCTACCCGTCAAGAATGTTACAACTTTTCAATTGCATATATGTTAGCTTAATAATTTATTCTTGATTTTAACAGATTTATACTTACATACTAAGCTTAGGAATTGCATACTGCTAAGGGTCTAAGGGTCATTACATGTGTATAGTGATAAAATAAGGTTACATTTTGTAACCTACATGATGGTAATATATGGCATAAATTAATTAACTGAAAACGTATTTCATTTGTTTTCAGTGCATGTCTTATCTTATGATAATGTACAATGCTAAAAATGGTTGTTGAATTCCTCTTGTCAATACTTACCAATCAAAATATAGCACTATCTGTTTGTCACGTGGATGTAAACGTTCATGTTGATAAAGCCGACTTATGTAGCAAATTGCTTAAGGTTGCTGATTTCAAATCATGTGCACCTCACAACTTCCAAAGATTGAATTTTTGTGTGGAGAATATATTTTGAGATCGATGAAAAGGTAGTTATAATGATATTACTTATTTTATAAAAGCTTTTTTATATTCTATGTTTACTATGTTTTCAAAACTGTTCTAATTAGCAGGAAAAAATAAAAATTATAAAAAATGTGCTTAATGCCCGGCAATTTGAATTAGATTGCATCCCCGCTTTTTGTCAAGTAAAAAGTCACAATTTTCATTTGACAATGTGGAGACTGTGGATCCCAGAACTTTCACCATATCAAGAGTATCGCTTCCGAGACATGTTGCCATTTCTCGGATATTTCTCTAACTTGTGGGTGTAGTAAAGATTAACAATTGAAATGTGAGTTATCTGCTATATAACATGCTATACAATAGATTACTGAAATATATAGTACGACTGATAGAAAATCAATAATTACAAAGGAGTTTTTCGTTCTATGTTTTATGGAAATAAAAATATGGAAATAAAAATCAAACAATCATGCAAATAGTTTTAATATTGCTGAACAAGTATAATTTTGAGAAGAAAAAGTTCATAGTAAGATTTAAGAGTTATTCAATTCAGATCAGAACAAAAAGGTGATATTTTACGGTATTTTGAACATACGTCAGTGTGCCGAATATTCATAGAATGCGTGTATAACAATGATTGTGTCGCGATTCAGGTCTAATAATTATCTCGACAACATGTTTACATTAACACCAAGTAACACGTCTCATATGGAAGATTATTTTAACAATCCATTTTTGTATTCGTATTTTCTATTATGTTACAATGTAAAACCTGTAAGTTTAAAATAATCTGCGCTATCTGATAAAGAAAGTATATAAAATAAAGAAATCATCGGTGTGAAGATGCTGAATGTATTTGGTAGAATAAACCTCGCCAATCAATGACCTGACTTATCTCGTGAATGCACTGATTAATACACTTGTATGTCCAAAATGTAAAACCGCAAAACACTTTTTAAAGAATGATTCCTGTTTTACTTTAAAGTAAAGGTCTTGATTCAGGAATGTTTCCGTTTAAATGTGCATCGAATTGTTATATTTAACACAAGTGTCATGGCACGAACTGATTTGTTGAAGTGTTTTTGGTTGTAAATTATGCTGGGTAATAGGCCTTTGTAAGTTCTAACTTTTGGCCATATTTTAAAAAGATTTTTTTGTAATATGATTTAAGTAACGGTATTATTGTGTTATTAATTTTTGCTTTCAATATTTCTGTTTTACCATATATTGAGTATTTAGCTATTATGTTAAAAATGAATAAGTTATTTCACTGATCATTTGTGCTTGGTTGTTTCTTACAGCGATACAAACAATAACAGTTATCTCTTGCTGTAAACTTGCCAAGACTTTATGCTGTGATGTACGTTCTGCTCCCCAACATTATACAAAAGGTCAGAACAATGCTATAAACTAGTCGATAGCGCTCTAGATGTGAACATATACATCATCCATCAATATTTGTTTCGGTCTTTTAAACCTAGTATTCTATAAACTAAATATATTTATCATTAATCACTTCTAAATCAATGATTTCAGTTTTTACCCAGATACATTTCAGATAAGACTGATAAAAAACCTGCTCGAACTAATAGTTATGTCACTTTTTTCCTTTTATTTCTTCATCTTATTTCTCCCTTTTACCACTTCTACTCTTTTTGAATAATCTTATTTTACATATTTACAACTTATTTCGTACTATAAACCAAATCAGTTTTGCCCTTTTAATTACTGTGACAGTCGTAAGCAGAAAATATATTTAGTTTATAGAATACATACGTTGTACCATTTATTTGTGAAATACTCATAACGAAGAGGAGGTTTCAAACAGTTTTTCCCTACTCAATCCGTAAAATTTATTTTTTGTTATTTATTATGTATATGAAAAGATTATTATCAAAATATTGTCCTTAATTAAACCACTTTACTTTTCTTTGGCGCAGTATTTTTGTATTATTATTCAACGTATTTGCTTTTCTTACGTATTTTGAGACAGGCCATGGACGAGTGGTTCAAACCCCTTGCTTATATCGCTATCTTACGGGACGTCTATGATTCTACTCAGATGTCCGTTTATGCCTGAAATAATGCATAAATGGACAGCTGAGGTCTTCCTTTACCAGTAAAGCTTGAAAGTCGCCATTATGGAAAAGCGGGAGCACAAAAATATCAAAATTCAATTAATAATAAACAAGAAGCAGACAACAAAGTTGTGTAGAAACCTGCAACAGAGGTCATTAATACCGACGATATTGTGTTTAGATGTCAAGGGTGTATTTATATATGTAAATTGAGGTAACAGACTGAGTGTTCGGCGCAGCGGGCATTTTTGTATATCAGGAATATTTTTTCAAACCAGGAAGTGTTCAGAAAATAAACCTAAACTCAGCTACACTTCAACCAAAGATTTGATTTAAGAAGGTATATGAAGCATTGAACTGAGAACTGTATATAGTAAAGATAATTCGTTGAACTGTGACGTTAAATAAATTGATTTAAACCACAGAACACTCGAAAGGGGACACTGGTAAAATTACTTGATTTTTGTATATTACGGCATTTGTGTATTGATTAAAATGGATGCGAATGCAGCTCAGGCTTATGTTGACGACGTCTTACCTTCGTCTCATCTGGTGCAGATAAACTTTTTACCATTGTCAGCTAGAAAACGTCATTTTTCTGATACTGATGATATGGAGGTGTCGAATGAAACCATTTCAAAGAAAATGAAGCCAAGCTCTACAGAAATGTCTACTCGTGTTTTGGGACATGCAAGGAGGACTCTATATGGTGAAACAACGAACAAAGGACTCCAGAACAAACATACAAAAGATAGAGAAGTGAGTAATTTCAATTTTGACATAATTTTGGATCAGAGATGAGATAAAATCAGAGATAATAACAGTAAACTCTAATCTCACAGAATGATTAGATAAACTTGAAGCAGAACTAGAAAAACGTATATCAGATAAGCTATCAGATAGATTAGCTCAACTGCTAGACAAATGCATGAACATTGAAACAAAACGAATTACTAAATCCATCGATGAAAGGATTGATACCCTCCGTGCTGACATGAATGGTGAACTTGACACCTTAAGTGGTAAAGTAAACTCTTTGACAGACACGGTACAAGCTTTAGATACAGAAAAGTCAATTTCTGAGGACAGGTCAACAAATATAGTAATAAGAAAGTTACCAGAGTCTGTGAACGAAAACATATTGAAAAAGGTAAAATCTATAAATAAAGACCATCTCAAACTGAATGATATTCAGGTGATATCAGCACATAGAATTTCTAACTCCAATAACAATGACAATATAATGCCTGGAATAGTAATAGCTAAACTACAAAATGCAGAAGCATGCAACAAAGTACTAAAAGCTAAAACTATATTGAGAGAAACTCCATGCAAAAATGTGTTTATTCATCCAGATCAATCTAAGGAAGAACGTCTGGCCAATGGTTATCTCAGAATGTTGGTGAATGCGATAAACAAAGGTGGATCACTTATTGTAAAATGTAACAGAGTGTTTAATTCATCTCCAAGAAGCAGAACGTCAATGGGCAGTAATGCCCCCTCTGCTTTTAAGGGCAATAATGCCACTTTTAGTAGATCAAATTATGCATCAAATAGTGAGACAGTAAATTCTGTAACAAATAGTGCAAATAACTCTAATTATCAAGGACATCATAATCAAAATGGTAATCGGCAAAATAACAATGGAAATAACAGTTCACAACATAATTTTCAGAGAAGAGGAGGTGGTCGTGGAGGAAACCGAGGTCATCATGGAGGAAATCGAGGGCGATTCAATGGAAGAGGCAATAATGGCAGTTACGCATAGGTTTCTGCCGGGTTTTGGAACATTAATGGATGGAACAATAATGTTGAGAGTGATAATCACATACTGAGAAAACATTGTACATTGTGTTTAGATTTAGATATTTTAGCTTTAGCTGAAACTCATTTAAAAGGAAATTCAATTATAAATATACAAGGTTATATTTGGTTTGGTAACAACCGCAAAAAACTACATATAAATGCTAAAACGGGTTCGGGGTGTTGGTTTTTTAATAAAAGAGCAATTGATGGTCGACTTTGATGTAACAGCTGTTGATAATAATTGTGATGGAATTTTATGGCTCAGATTTGAACATAAATATGCAAGATATGTTTTTCACACTTGTGTTTGTTACTTACCACCAAACAATTCATCTAGACAAATAGATGTCAATGATTATTTTGATCATTTGTTATCTAGTATATATGTGTACCAAAATGATGGTTTAATATTTTTATGTGGAGATTTTAATGCACGTATTGGAGATAATAATGATTTTATTGAAGGCATAGATGTTATACCTGAAAGGAAAGTTGTAGATTTTACATCAAATATGTATGGCGATAAACTAATTCAGTTTCTTATAGATAGCAGCATGTGTCTTCTAAATGGGAGAAATACCATACAAAATGATTACACATCAATTTCTACAAAGGGTTGTGCAGTACGTGGTAGATTATTGTATAGTTAGTCAAGAATTTTTAAATATTTTTAAGGATTTTAATGTTTTAAGAGCAACACAAATAGTTACAGATGTTAGTAAAACAACTGGTTTATCGCCAAGTTCAATTCCAGACCATTCAATTATATCTTGGACTCTTGATTTGTCAAGCTTGATACCTTCTAATTTGTCAGGCAACATGGGTAATGTTAATTACGTTGATAGTTATAATAGTATATCCTCATCTAGTTATGATAAATTTTATGTTAGGCAGGTACCGGAAATTTTTTTTTAAGTGAAGACATTGTTATAAATACATAATATTCATAGTACTATTTTTAAACTAGAACAGAGTTTACAATCTCAGAATGATATAGATAATGTTTATTCAGATTTATGTAGTATATTAAGACGGGAAATGTACGATATTTTAAATTATAAATCTGTTAAAGTCTGTTCTAATGGTACTTCAAATAAAAAACGGCAACTTGGTAAACCATGGTGGAACGACAACCTATCCCGTCTATGGAATTCTATGTGTGAGAAAGAAAATAACTGGTTAAAATGTAAACAAGCTTCTGTTAAAAAGTTTTTAAAACAGCCTTTATTTTGGTACGGAAAGATTTTAATCGTGAGGTCCAAAAGAGTAAACGTTTACATTGGATTGATTTCCAAAAGAATTTGGTGTCCAATTGTAATAACAACCAACAAGAATTTTGGAAAACTATAGGTAGGGTAGGCGTCGCTCAGGCCAAGAAAAAGTTTATTCCTATGGAGGTTGTTACTGAAAATGGTGATGTTTCTTGTGATGTACATATTGTGCTTGAAAAATGGAAGAAAAATTTTAGTAACCTTTTTAATAGACCTGATACTGATATATTACAATCTAATAATCTTCTGGAAAATAATATAAACATGTCGAATAACCAGGTTGAAAATAACGTCTTTCATGAGCTTAATGTTAATATTTCCATTGAAGAAGTCCGTAAGGCAATATAGCAGGCAAAACTTGGTAAAGCTAATGGATTTGATAATATTCCAATTGACATTTTTAGAAACAATTGTTCAGTTTCATTTTTTTTTACATATTCTATATAATATTTGTTTCAAAAAAGGAATTGTGCCTTCAGATTGGGGAAAAGTGATAATAACTCCCATACCCAAATCTAGCACGAATGACCCTCGAGACCCTTTATCATATAGAGGAATAGCACTTTCTTGCTCCATGTATAAATTATATTGTTCGATTTTGAATAACAGGCTTTCATCATATTCGGAATCTAATAATATTTTAGCAGATGAGCAAAATGGTTTCAGAAAACATAGGAGCACTGTTGACCATATCTCATCCTTGTCCAATATTATTGACACGAGGAAAAAGCATAAATTATCTACTTTTTGCGCCTTTATTGATTTTCGTAAAGCTTATGATTTTATTAATAGAAGTCTATTATGGAAAAAACTATTTGAATTAGGGATTAATGGAAATATGCTCAATGCTTTACAATCCTTGAATAAGTCCATGTCAACCAGGGTACGAATAAATGGTCTATATACAGACTGGTTTGAAACTAACTCTGGTCTTCGTCAAGGTTGTTCGTTATCACCTATTCTTTTTAACATGTTCATAAACGATTTAGTTCTAAAAATGAAAAACATTGGTAAAGGCGTTACTATAAATAACGAATTAGTTTGTATTTTATTATATGCTGACGATATTGTGCTCATAGCTGCAAATGAAGCAGACCTTCAATATATGTTAAATGTTTTAGCAGACTGGTGTTCTTCCAATACAATGATTGTTAACCCAGAAAAAAGTAATATAGTACATTTTCGTCCACAGTCGGTTGGCAGATCGGATTGTTGCTTTAAATGTGGAGACCACTTTTTAAAGGTGGTTGGTCAGTATACATACCTTGGTTTAATGCTCAATGAATTTCTTGACTTTGATTTGACTGCTAAATCTGTTGCTCAAAGTGCCAGCAGAGCCTTAGGACTGCTAATTGCTAAAGCAAAACAAATGAAATAAATTATATGACAGCACTGTCTGGCCTGTAATTTCATATGCTGCATCAATTTGGGGTATAAAATCTTACACCTGTATAAATGCCGTACAGAATCGTGCAATAAGGTTCTTCCTTGGAGTTGGAAAGTACACTCCCACGGCAGCTTTATATGGTGAAACTGCATGGCGTCCTCCGCATGTAAAGCAATGGCGATCTGTCTCCCAACAGTGGCATAGATTATGCACCATGGATACAAATCGACTGAACTATAAGATTTTCATGGCATGTAGAAATAAAAGTAATTCTAGATGTAAAAACTGGCAATTTATGTATAACGCTCACATGTCTAGTTTAGATCTTGATGACTTTTTAATGAATTGTAGTAATATGTCATCTAAAGTGTTTTGTAGCAATGTGGAAGAAAAAACTATGAACATTTATATAGCTAGTTGGAAAAACAGTATTAATAATATGTCTGGTCCAAGTAGAAATGGTCGTAATAAACTAAGATCATATAAAGTTTTCAAACAAGATTATGAAACAGAAATGTATGTATCTACAAGTAATATTCCTGCTAAACACAGATCAGCTCTAGCTAAATTCAGATGTGGTGTTGCGCCTATACGTTTAGAAACGGGGCGATATGAAAATATGCCTGTTAATGCTAGACTATGTCCTATTTGTAAAAATGCAGTTGAAACAGAAAAACATGTCTTATTGGAATGTTCTACATATCAAACCATAAGAAATAGTTTATATGAAGAAGCTGTTAAAATTAATCATGAGTTTCACAATTGGAATGATGATCAAAAATTTGAATTTGTTCTATCTAATAATAATATTGTTAGAGAAAGTGCCAAAACCTGTTTCTCAATATTAAATATGAGATCGAATCTTCTATACAGTTAGTTTTAAGTGTAGACTGTTACTTTTAATTGCACATGTATATTTACTTAGTTTTAATAACACATTTCTTTTAGTATTTTTAATTTTTGCTATTTTTGTGTCGCCTCTACGGAGTAGTGGCGACATATAGGGATCACTTCTCCGTCGTCTGTCTGTCCGTCTGTCCGTCTGTCTGTCCGTCTGTCCGTCCGTCCGTCACAAAACTTGTCCGGACTACCCCTCATAAACTACTGGTGCAATTTCATCCAAACTTTACAGGAATGATCAGTATCAAGTCTAGTTGTGCATATTGTCAGCATTTTCCGGTTCAATGATTTTTGTCAGAGTTATGGCCCTTTAATAATTTTTAATTTTAAAGTTTGTCTGGACTACTTCTCTTATACCACTAATGCAATTTCAATGAAACTTTACAGGATTGATCTGTAGCTCAAGTCCTTGCGCATATTGCAAGGTTTTCCGGTTGAATGATTTTTGGCCGAGTTATGGCCCTTTGATAAAAAAAGGTGTTTTTTTTCTGTGTGTTGCCAGATACACAATAGCTTGTCCGGACTACTCCTCATAAACTATTTGTGCAAATTCATCCAAACTTTACAGGAATGATCAGTACCAAGTCTAGTTGTGCATATTGTCAGCATTTTCTGGTTCAATGATTTTTGTCAGAGTTATGGCCCTTTAATAATTTTTATTTTTAAAGTTTGTCCGGACTAGTTCTCTTATACCACTTATGCAATTTCAATGAAACTTTACAGGATTGATCTGTAGCTCAAGTCCTTGCGCATATTGCACGGGTTTTCCGGTTGAATGATTTTTTGGCTGAGTTATGGCCCTTTGATAAAAAGGTGTTTTTTTCTGTGTGTTGCCAGATACGCAAAAGCTTGTCCGGACTACCCCTCATAAGCTACTGGTGCAATTTTATCCAAACTTTACATGATTGATCAGTACCAAGTCTAGTTGTGCACTGTCCGTCTGTCTGTCCGTCTGTCACAAAATTTGTCCCAACATAAAATTGGCCATTATGAGGCGACACATGTGATTACTGATCGCTCTTGTTAAGCCACTAACCCAGTAATATCTGATAATACCAATATATCCCGAAACATTCATGTTATTCATTAACCATATCCTATACATTCATTTTCTTGCCTAGTCACATTCCTTACAGTTATTTTTGTGGTCATGTCATGTAGATCTATGTTCCTACTTTGTATATACTTTACATTCTTGTTCTTACATGGTCATATCCCATACAAACATGTATTTGGTCACGTCCTATACTTCTATGTTCTTGTAATATTCTATGTTCTTACATTGCCATGTCCTTTACAAACATATTCTTAGTCACGTCCTAAACATCTATGTTCTTACTTGCTATACATGACCAGGTTACTTACAAACATGTACTTGATAACGTCTTCCATCGTTCGTCGGAT